TTATTCAAATGATATAGTTTCTGAGTGATTATTTCAGGGCTGAGCAGCCAAAAACAAACTAACAGTCCTTCACCAACAGCAATCTGTGCTCATACCTGAAAACACCTTAGCTAAGCAGGGGCTAGCACACCTTGCCAACTATTGAAGACTCTGGCAATGGCCCTGGTTGGGGTATTTGAAATCTTCTGTCCTCGCTCCCAAGCCCATATAGTCTACCTACTGGGGAGATGACATCAGATACTGGTGTTCATTTAAGAAGGAGAGGGTTTGTTTTTTCTGTAAATGTCAGGCACTAAATATCTTCAACCTGGCAGCCTCACTATATCCATCCTGCATCAAATACTCAGGTCTGCATTCAGTGTGACAGCAGCAGAAGGCAACAAGGTAATGAATGGGTCAGCAGACTTGTCCTCTGATGGGAAGCTCAGCCAATCAAATTTGGCTAGGGTGTGGCCGCCTGGAGCCAAGGAAACAAGGACTAAAAAATCCAGGTGCCTGCCCCTTGCTCTCTCTCACTCCCAGCTGCGTGTGTGCTCCTTGGATCTCGGTCGTGTGAGTTTTCTCTGTTTTTCCAATTATTAAATATATTATTTATCTTTGAGCTGGTCTGGTTAATTCTAACTGCCAATCGACCACGCCTTTCACTTGGCGCCCAACGCAGAGTTTTTTAGAGCCCTTTAAGGCTCTGGCCAGAAGAGGGCACCAGACCCCATTACAGTCCCTCTCCAATTCCAAGCCTGTTGATAAGAGATATCCCAGAATTTCTCTCTCATGTCAGGAGCCATGGTATAGACAGAATAATAATAATAATAATAATTGATAAACTTACTTTGCCTTTCCTTATATCTGTTTCCATCTTTATTACACCTTTCATTGAATATATATGTCTGTATATGTCTTTGTAGATAATGTTTAACTTTCCTGTAAGGAACAATAAATTTTCCTGCAGTAATATTTGAAGTTTCCAGGATGAAGATGGGGCCCCACAACATCGAATCCACCTGGTTAATATGATGTCATGATGTTGATAGCGCTACTATTAGATCTGTTTTTTGGTACCAGCTGCACAAGACAGTTCCAAATGATGCACATTTTGACAACACTCTGGTCGGACCTCCTCAGAACACTCAGAGACTATTTGCAATTTTTCCAGACCAAATATTGATCTTGGAATTTTACCATAATTTACTTTCACAGGACCCCCTAAGAAGAACGTCGCCCCATGACAGCTGGAAGCAATCTTAGAGGACGACGTCCCCTCTCCCAACAGAGTTTGCCCTCAGGTTTAGGGACATTATTTAGGAGTTGATTATAATTGGCATAGGGTTGAGGGGATGGGGGAGGTATTTTATAGGCTCAGGGGTGTTAAAACAAAAAAGAGGGATAATTGGTGATGGGATTGGTATTTGTGAGTTATTGTTTTTAGAAAATTATGTTGGTTCTTATATATTGACACAAAGTTAAATTATATTGAATATTGTATGTGAGTATGCTTCTATATATTGTATTGATATATATATATATTTATAATATTGCAATGTACATTTCTACCTCTGATTAAGATACTTATATATTGTTTACATTGTTTACATTTGGAGGTCATTGTCCTCATTTATTGCAAGTTGCTTATTCTCTTAGACTTTGAGTAAGATAGGTATCGAGAATTATAAATCAATAGTTATATATGTTTGTCATATTTATATTTAGGCTAATCAGTTTCTTTAGATACACAGAGAGTATATTTAGAATAGATAGTAAAATCTTCAACCTCTTCGAAGAGCTGTAGAAAATGGCCTTTCATCTAACCTAGAGTTCCGTGCTAGTGAGACACAATCACTCCTGGCAACACCACTCTACTCCCAAGAGAACGTTGAGTACCAAAGACACTCCAATTGGAGCTTGTCTTCTTGGCAGAACTGGCCTTTGGGCAAAGAAAAGCCCATACCTCGACCACTAACAGAGATACTGAGTATCCATAAATAGATAAAAACAGGATTGTCTTATCCTGCCAAGACAGGGTAAGATAGTTCTAAAACGTTCCTTGCCTTTGAAAATGGTATGTCAGTTATGTTAGGCCTTAGCCAAAGTTGGTTGATTCAACATTGTAAACGAGACTTTGGGTGATTGCCCAGGTAGTCAGTTGTCTCTGTCATTTGTTGCACATTTTGGAAGTTTCTCGTTTGTACTTCCTTGTTGCTCAAGTAATATTACTTCCCTTCTCGGATCTTTGATGGAGTTGAAGATTAGATAATTGTAGTTACCCTCCTCATGATTTAGCTAAACTTAATTTCAATACATTATTTAGACTCCTTGAAATAGAATGCTTAGTAAAACATTTGTTATGTGTTTCTTGCTTAATATTGTTTGTTACTTGTAATTTTATATTTAGTATCTGTTCCTATTATATATAGTTGTATTGGGTTTGGTTTGATCTTGTTTAGACAAAAGGGGGAGATGATGGGGAAGCTCAGCCAATCACATTTGGCTAGGGTGTGGCCTCCTGGGGTCAAGAAAACAAGGACCAAAAAATCCAGGTGTTCACCCATTGCTCGCCCTCTCTCTCTCTCTCTCTCTCTCTCTCTCTCTCGCTCGCTCGCTCGCTCGCTCCCGGCTGCCTGTGTGCTTGCTGGATCTCAGTCGTGTGAGTTTTCTCTGTTTTTCCAATTATTAAATATATTATTTATCTTTGAGCTGATCTGGTTAATTCTAACTGCCGATAGACCACGCCCTTCAGTCCTCTGTCCTTCTGACCCCATGTACCAGTGTTGGTGACCATTCCCCCAGAGTGTCTTCAGAAGTACTGTGAAAACTGCCTGCTTCCCAGGCTGCTCTCTCTCAGGGCCCAGTACATGGCCAGGAGCCACAAGGAAATGGAGAATATTTACCCTGCTGCATGAACCTCGGGCTGGTTCCTGCCAAAGCAAGGCCATTGTCCTATTTGGAACAGCCACAAAATCCACCCAGGGCCATTTCCTAGAATTGACACCTTAGACTTCAAGATTGTCCAGGGTCAGAGGGTCCTAGAGGCAGGCCCAGCTGTGCTCTTCATCGATTATTGTCTCTGGCTGCTTTCAAGTCCAGGAACAGAGCCGAACAGGATAACAGAGACCATCTGTCCTGTGAAGACTTCAGTACTGATACAGTAGCTGTATTAGTCACTTTCTGCTGCTGTGATGAAGACCAAGGTCATGGTCACACACAGAAGGAAGGGTTTGAGATCTTAGAGTTTCAGAGGACAAGAGTCCATCACCTCACAGCAGAGAAGCATGGCACTTGGGGTGCATGGTGGCTGAGCAGCAAGCTTGGAGCCCACAAGTTCTTAGCTTAGTTTGGGTCTTTGAGACAAGGTCTCACTATATGGTCCCTGCTGTCTTAGAACTCACTATGTAAAACAGGCTAGATATAAACTCATAAAGTTCTGCCTTCCTCTGTCTCTCAATTGCTGGGATCAGTGTCATGTGATTCCATGACAAGCTTGGAGCACATATCTTAAACGACAAAAAAAAAAAAAAGTCCAGATGTGAAGAAATGAGTATGAGTTTCAAAGCCACACCCCCAGTGACATATTTCCTTCAGCCAGGCCTTACCTCCTAGACCTATCCAAGCAGCTGCCACCAACTGGGGACCAAGAATGTGAACACCCTGCTCTACAGAGGACAGGCTCATGCAAACCAACATACCAGCCATTCACAGGAGCATCTAGGGTTCTTCACTGAGTGACAGGGCAGTAATGAAGCAGTGCAGAGAGAAAGACTGTGCTTGCTGCAGGACTCTTGCTGGGACCTGATTGATCCTCCTGGGAAGGCAATCTGGGGCTGTCTTTGAGGTAGATTAGTTTTGATTGGTTTTTTAGATTTATTTTGTTTTGACCGCATGTATGTATTGCAGCACATATGCATTTGGTGCCTTTGGAGGCCAAAAGAGGACATTTGACTCCCTGGAACTAGAGTTACAAGAACTGGTGAGCCATCATGTGTGGTGCTGAGAATCAAACCTGGATCCTCTGCAATAAGAAGAGCCCTAACCACTACACCACCTCTCTAGCCCCAATGGTTCAGTTTAAACACTGGGCACAGGATCCTAGGATTTTCATGGGAGAGCAGCTTTCAGCTTCTTGATCACTTGTTTTGTCTTTAATTATTAAAATCCAGCCAAATCTGGGTTGGCTAATCATCTATATATATTTAGGAATTTTGTGTTCTGTTAACCATGACCACCTTAAACAGTTAGATTTCAAGATGGGTCCCCCTTACTTCACAGTGAACCACTGTTGTTGATGTTACTGCCTCCTGACCACTCCAACTGATTTTCTGTTGCATACTTCTGAGGTTCCAAGTTAGAAATACAGGTTCCTAACCCCACCCCAGCCTTGAGCCATCACCATCCCTGCACTTCCAGCCATGTTGGTGCCCTCCTCCCTGGTCCTTCTCACTGTGCTTCTCAGCAGGGATGCTCCAGCATCCACAGACAGCATGGACTCTGCACCCTTCCCCTGGAAATGTTTGCTGCTCCATCCACTCTGGCACATGTACTTCTCTGAGATTTTTGATCCCCACTCTTCTACTGCCAGATTTAAGCAGCCTAGATCTTCTGTGTCCTGTAGTGTGGACTAGCCTCTGACCAGTCCAGGAAGCCATCCTTGGTCCACTGCAGTATACAGGGGATCTGGCAGGTGTTGTTCTGGTTTCATTATGTTGCTATGATAAACTCTCTACCAAAATCAACGTGAGAGAGAAACTGATTTATTTAATTTCTACTTCTAAGCCATACTCTGTCACTGAGGGAGGTCAGGGCAGGTACTCAGACGCAGGCCCACGTGGCATTCCACACAGCATTATCTATGACCATTCCACACAGCATTATCTATGACCAAGGAACTCACTTCACAGCCAGAGAAGAACAGCAGGAACCATGGAGGGTGCTGCTTGCTGTCTGGATCACTAGCTCCTGCATAGCTAGATTTCTTATCCAGCCAGAGACCACCTGCCCCGGGAATAGTAATGTCCATAGTGGTTGGGCATTTTTACATCATTAATAGTAGAAACAGGCCCTCAGTAGACACTCCCTTCTTAGGTGAGTCTAGGCTAGATCAAACTGGCAATTAGAGCTAACCAGCAAAGATGTTCAAGTCTATGATCTGAGAGCACAGATCAGTAAAAACGGTGTCCATGCAACCTCTGTTCCATCCTCACCCTGCTCCACTCTGCCCCACCATCTGCCTCACGCACCATCCTGTCTCCACACGGTCTACATGAGCAGCTTCTGGAGGTTCTACAGGATGAACAGATCCAGAGAAGACATCCTGAAGTTTTCCTATCATAACTGACAGGGCCAACCCCTAGCGAGATCACGTAATAACAGACAAGAGAATTGTTGCTGTAGAAAGTCTTGCAGCTAGTGGTTACCCGCCTATTGGAGCATGGCCTCTTACACTATATAGGCCGACGTAGAACATGTATCCAGCCTCTCTGTTGTGGTTGTGGGATTTGTTTTCTGATCTCCGTTCAAGCAGAGGAGTCTGATTTGTGAGTTTACCCCTAAATAAATGACCATCTATTTCTCAGTTCTGAGCTAGTGTGGGATTTCTTTTAAGCATCCTTCTACAAATTGTCGGTGGAGATCAGGGGTTGCCCACACCATAACCTGCATCTTCAAGCAAGAGAGATTGACTGACTGTGTTTTACTTAGCTCCGTGGAAGCTCAGTCAACTCTCCAGCGGGTCTACATGGCTTCTTTCTGACTCCACCTTTCTTGCTCCCAGCATTCAGTTCTGCCTTCCCTGCCTACCTAAGTTCTGCCCTACTAAAGGTCTAAGGCAGTTTCTTTATTCGTTAATGGTATTCAAGCATGCAGAGGGAAATCCCACGTCAGTCAGCCATTTTATTTTATTTCCTTTATTTACTTAAGAAATTTATTTATTTCTCTCTTTTTTAAAGACTCCCTTCCAAAGGATTTTCTTGATCCACAGACAGAGACTGTCTCTGAGCCCCTGATCCACATCCCTAACCTCACTGCATGTTTCCTTCACAGATGCTGCTTCTCTTTGCTACAGCTTCACTGTTGGCAGGTCAGGGTCTGGACCATGGTGGCACAAAGTCCAAGGCCAACTGAATGAAGAGACTTTTCTTTCATACCACAGCAGCAGCAGCAACAACTGCCAAGCCATTGGTGTTCTGGGGAACTGGCTGAATGCCACAAAGATCTGTGATAAACAGGTTGACACTCTGAAAGATGGAGTTGACCTGTTCAAAGAACAAGTGGTTCACATGAAGCAGGAGAATAAGACATTCAAAGGTAAATTTCAAATGGCCCCATATTCTTGTAGAGTGCTTGCCTGGCATGCAGGAGACCCTAGGTCAATCCGCACTGCCACAAACTAAATAAAAGAACATATTAGATGGGCCCCTGAAGGAAAGAACGTGTCCTTTTGTGACACGTTAGGGACATTCATTGTTTTCATGGAGGAAAAAATGAATCACTGGTAGTCCAACCTAAGTGGTCCTGCAGCAAGGCTTTAGGGTAGAGCAAGGTCAGAGGATGGAAAGAGAGGGGAAGGGACAGGATTCATCAAGGGCAGAGACTCATCTCTTTCCAATGGGCACAGAGCCCCTTGCTCTGCAGGCCAGGCTGTGTTGTTGGCATGAAGTAGATGGACGTTTCAATGGATCCTGGTACTTTGACCTCAATGGACACAAAATGGTCCATGTTGACAAAAGCACTGGAGAGTGGACTGAAGTTGATCCTGGATCCAGCCGGATGAAAAAGATGTGGGAGAAAAACAAGGATTTAACAGACTTTTTATCCAGGACCTCACAGGGGGACTGCAAGGCCTGGCTTAAGGAGATGATCAAGTCACTCTTGGAAGAAAAGCTGGAGCCTACAGGTAACCACCATGAGTCCTTGGGTTAATGGTCATTTTTTTCTGTCATTTATTTCATTTCTCACCTCTCCTATCTTATTAATTGTGGTTACATTGTTCTCTCACTGCGGGTCTCGCTGGCTGTCACAGTCTGAGCATCCTTGTATTTCCTGGCCTTTTCCTCATTCTGCACTCACTTTTGCTTTTCCTCTCACCTGATCTGTCTTCTTCCCTGGCACCATCCTCACAGGTCATCTCATGCCTCCTATCCTGCCAGAGGAAAGATGGGCTCCATTATTATCCTGCTTCTCCTACCATACCTGTCTGAGTCTTATTAGGTCACGGAACATGCTGTCTCTCCCTTCCTACTCAGGATCCACCTAAACAGTTGTTATATAGCAATGGGGGTGGAACCTGTGTGTTGCTGAATTGCTAGAGAACCCAGAAGCTATGGTGAGATTTCCTCAGATTTGAGGTCTGGTCAAAGACTCAACTTGTGTTTCCACTTCAGCCTCAACAACCACTACTCCACATGTGGTCCAGCCTTCGTCCCTGGCCATCAAGCCCCACATCTCTGTCCCACTGCTCATCCTCCGCTACTCCCTTCTTCTGTGGTCTCTGAGGAGAATCCTTGACAACGAAGGGACTGAGGGCCGTGTTGGGAGTGGGGTAAGGGACAGATGGGCGAGGAGTGAGGAAACAGGAAGGAATTCCCAGAGACATGATGCTGTCCCTCATCTATAGCATCTTATTGAGAAAGGAGGCAGGAGATCTGGAGTTCATGTCACCTGCTAGCCATAGCGTGTGCATGCTCAGCCTTGACAGTCAGGAATCATGTCACAGAGCAGTGGGGAATTAGGAGGGAACACAGCAGGTGCCTGATCAGAGTAGGTTCCTAATCAGGAAGGTCCCATGATACAGATGTGTAACATTAGGAACACAAATGAAGAATGTGGTAGCTCTAGTCGATGTATAGGGAGAAGAAGATTCTATACCACAGACAAAGATAAAAAAGATATAAATAAAGAGATGGCACAGTGGCAAGACCACTTCCTGCTCATGAGTCGGACTTGGGATCCAGTCCCAGCACCCACTTGGCAACCATACAGCCCCTTCTTCTCCACAGACACCAGGCATTCACACAGTGCACTTACAGGCATGCAAGCTTATGCTCACACACATGAACTCACAATGAATAGAGCTGTGGCCTCCAGAAGGAGCAGTGTCCCCACTGCAGGCCGGGGGACTGAGTTGCTGCTGGAGTCTACAGCTCCCATCTAGACAAGGTGGGGCTGAGACAGTCACAACCACACCTGTGTGTGTGTCGCTCTAAGGCTGAGAAAGAATGGAGAAGAAGGCTGGATAGGGGTCCCCATGACTCCTCCTCCAGCCCCTCCTTAGTCAGGAAGCAGAGCTGGTCATCACCACTTTATTCTGGTCTCCAGGTCTGCAGCAGGGTCTGGGACTCTGGGACAAGGGAAAGGAGGAAGACAGTAGGGGATCCAGGATGGAGAGCCCAGGGGCGATGGAGGAGGGAACTGAATGACCCTCAGTGAGGGTGGCTGTGGGTGGTGATGACTGGTACAGGGCACCCAGGAGAACTGACCCAGGCTCTCCTCAGACCCTTCAATAGATGTGTTTCCTTGCTGCAGGTTGAAGATGCTCCAGAGAAGTCGTGAGAGTTCAGCTGGTACCACTACTCTCCCTTCCATCAGCCTCCATCAGATGAATCAGGATGCTGCGGACAGCATTTCATGGTCTTCACTCTGTGCAGTCGCTGGGGCCCTTTCTTACCACCTTGTATTGTTTCCTTGGTGTTCCCTGGTTGGATTTGCCCATAACATGGATCTACTTGAACTAGAGGTCTGAAAAAGGGCATGGTTTTGTACACATCCTTAGCATAGGAAACAGGACAACCAGATCTCCTTAGTGGGAATGTGAACTTTTTACTCTTGTGTATCTAGGTCAATGTGAGACAGACTAGAAAGGTCCCACCCCCGATAAGGTATTTGTTGGAAGTTAAATTCTGTTAAAAATATTAATTTTGTAGTAGATATTTATTATAACCACACCTTACTAGGCAGCCATCTCTAGAACAAAAGAAAAAATGTGTCTTTTATTTTTAAATGATTACATATAATATAGTCATAAGAGAAAATATAATATTTTATAATATTATTACTATTATAGGTTAGTCATACACTAGGTAGCATAGCAATGTCCACATTCACAGTAAGAACAGAGAACCTAGAAGCTGCTCAGTCCTACAGGCTGGCTGCCCCTGCAGTGACAATCTCCCAGTGAAAGGCAGAAGATCCTGGGAGCTGGTGCTGCTGGGTCCACATCCTCCTGGTGCTGATCTGGGTCAGTGCTGCTCTCCACTGTGCTCAGAGGAGCTTCTTCTGCACACTCAGACCTGGGATGGAAGGAGAATGAACTCACACTAGTTTCCTATGACTCCACAGGGACACTTTGCACAAGTGCACTAGCACTCACACACACGTGACACACACATACAGTGACAACATAAGGACTTGAAAATATGGAGAGATCACTATTGAAAACACGTTTTTGAGGTAGGGCCTGTAACATGACGGGCCAGCTTGTTGGGGTTTCTGTCCCTCCCAGTACCCCACGGTCGGCAAATCCCAAAGAGAAAATCACACACAGGACTCCATAGGATTATAAACTGATTGGCCCATTAGGTCAGGCTACTTATTAGCTCTTATAACTTATGTTACCCCATTATCCTTATCTATGTTAGCACATGGCTCCGTACCTTTCTCAGCTGGGCAAGTTACATGCTGCCTCTTCGGTGGTCTGTGCAGGAGTGGCTAAGGGAGTTTCCTCCTCCCTTGCCTTATCCTATTCTCACTGCCCTGCCTCTACTTCCTGTCTGGTTGACCCACCTATACTTCCTACCTGGCCAATCAGCGTTTTATTAAAATACATGATTGACAGAATACAGAGAATTCTCCCACACCATTTCCCTCTTTTTTTTTTTTAAACAAAGGAAAATACCCATAGTCCATTTGTTAGGAATGAGGGCGTAGTATTTCAGGCTACTTCCTGCTGGTTGGGGGTGCTGATGATCTTATGGGGACCTAAAGAAAATTTAGAGTTATAATCAAGTCCTGACTGAAGTATCCTGTGAGTCTTGATCATCTCAGGCAGCAGTCTTGAATCTGTTCTGGATGTATAACTCAGACATCTGGGCCATCTGTTCCTGTTGGAGATTTCTCAGGTGGCCTCCCTTGATGGAACTTGATTTTTCTTAACTCAGAATGAATCCATAGCCTCTTATTTTCTGTGGAAACAAAAGCAAAATCTCTTCTCCAAAGTAACAAACCTTTTGACTTCAGTTTTGAAGCCAAGGTATTTTCAAAATACCTATCTTGAGTTAGTTCAGCAGTATTTATAAACAACAGTCCTTTAGCAGCTGTTGCTCCTTCCTCAGCATTCAAACAATTCAAAGAGAGCATAATAGCATACAGTATCAAGACTCTCTGTTTATTTTCCATCTTTATTTTAACCTCTATTTCTTTTATTTTTACTTTTACTTTTTGAGACGGGTTCTCTGTATATCTTTGTCCTGGAATAACTCTGTAGACCAGGCTGTCCTTGAACTCACAGAGATCTTTCTGTCTCTGCCTCCCCAGTGCTGGGATTAAAGGTGTGTGCTACAACACCTTGAACTCACAGAAATCTGTCTCTGCCTCCCAGGCATAGGGATTAAAGGCGTATACTACCACACCTTGAGGTCACAGAGGTCAATCTCTACCTCTGTCCCTTGAAGTCACAGAGGTCAATATGCCTCTGCCTCCCAGGCATTGGGATTAAAGGTGTGTACCACCACACCCTATTTCTCCCTTTCTTTCTTTACTTTAAGAACTTGAACTTTTAGCCTGTATATATTTTTAACACACTGTAAACCATTTAGAGGTTTTCTTTGTCTTTGAATCTCTTTTTACTGTATATCTCTCTTTTTCTGACCACATGAGTCTAAAACCGTGACTTTGACGGCTAGATCCAATCCATTTCTTAGCTTTCCAGACTCATGGTAGAGGTACCACTGGAGCCATTTTTACTGCCACAACTCTATGGCGTTTCAAGGTCCCTGCCAGCAAGCAAGCTGGATCACTCTGCTCACAGACCACACTCAGTCAGACTGCCTGCCTGAAAGAGTCAGAGATTGCCCTGGCAGGACAGTCCAGAAATCCGGCATTTTAAAACAGCGCAGCTTTTTTCCTGCTACGGCTGAAAACCGAAAAGCATTGATCAACACCATTTAAGTGTTTAGTGTCAGGACCTCTTAAAAGAGCTGCAAAGTTTTGCAGCTAAAGCTGAGTCAGGAAGCCTCTCTTAGATGAGAGTGCTTGCTTGCCTCTAGCAAGCAGAGCAGACCCGAGAAATTGCTGCTACCAAGAAACCATGCTTTACTCTATTCTTTCCCCAAACTTTCTCAGGCTTTCTGTGGATTCAATTATCCACGTTTGGGCGCCATATGTAACATGACGGGCCAGCTTGTTGGGGTTTCTGTCCCTCCCAGTACCCCACGGTCGGCAAATCCCAAAGAGAAAATCACACACAGGACTCCATAGGATTATAAACTGATTGGCCCATTAGGTCAGGCTACTTATTAGCTCTTATAACTTATGTTACCCCATTATCCTTATCTATGTTAGCACATGGCTCCGTACCTTTCTCAGCTGGGCAAGTTACATGCTGCCTCTTCGGTGGTCTGCGCAGGAGTGACTAAGGGAATTTCCTCCTCCCTTGCCTTATCCTATTCTCACTGCCCTGCCTCTACTTCCTGTCTGGTTGACCCACCTATACTTCCTGCCTGGCCAATCAGCGTTTTATTAAAATACATGATTGACAGAATACAGAGAATTCTCCCACACCAAGGGCCTAACTATGTAGCACAACATGGAATGAAACACACTAGGCAGGTCAGGTTGACCTGGAACTTGGAGATCTTCCTGCTTCTATGTCCCCAGCATCGGGCTTAAAGGTGTGTGCACCACACCTGACTGATTCTTGGATTTTGAGCTCTTATGCTGTTCTACTAAACTATTACTAATGTAAGATGCACTATTTCTCCATAATTAATTTGTAACTATAGTGGCATTAAGTAGACTGGCCATGTTCAGATATCTCAGGCATCACTAAAGGAAACCTGTAACAACTAATCCTAGGAAAGAGAAATTGAAGATTATTTGTTTAGTTGAAGTCACTGGTAATGTCTGTCCTTACTTTTCCTTACTGGAAGCCATCTGATTGCTGACTTGGCATCTTTTAAAAAATGCCATCTTTCTGCTCAGATGTTTGTGAACTTTATTCTTGTGATTGTTTTGCATGTGCTCATGTTTCTACAAATGTGTGTATGACTGTGTTGTGTGATTTTTTACATAAAATTTTCAGAGAATTCTCTTGTAATTATTTTACTTCTCAAGGTTTGTGGCAATGCCTATTCCATTTGTGATAAACTAGCTGTAATATTCTCTTTGTTCTTTGTCAATCTGTATAAAGACCTGTCAAATTCAGTGTTCATTATTTTGGTCTGAAGGGGGTTGGAGGTTGAGACAGGTTTCTCTGTGTAGCCTGGACTATCTGTTCATCTGAGGGGACTAACCCTGACAAGAAATGGAGGTTTTACTTCACAGAAATCAAGCCTCTCACACCCAAGTTTAAGTATCTGAGTGTGTTGACACCTCTCAACTAGATAGAAGCATTTGCTACTCAGAGGGGACACTGCTCTGACAGTGACCAAGACTCATTTACATAAGATCATTTCTAGGTTCGGGCTGCCCTTGTCAATCGGATCAGATGATGGACCTGCCTTCTCTTGTCCATAGCTTAAATGGTCAGTAAGGTCTTAATGTAACCTGGAAATTGTGCCTACTGACTTCAGAGCTCAGGACAAGTTCAAAACAGAACTGGGCTTCTCTAAGTTAGTTTTGGAAACCAGTGAAAATTGGTCCAACCTTTCACTCCTGACCCTGCTTATGGTGAGATGTTCCACCCACAAGGCAGCACCCACCCCACGAAATTGCTTTTGAAAGATGCCTGTGAGGGTCTCTGCCAACACCTCCACCAGCAGAGGGTTGATCCACAGAAAGCCAGAAGGAAGCCCTTTTTAACCTGACTCAGTGGCCAGTGTTGGTTCAGACTTTGAAAGTCTGACCCAGTAGTTTATTTTAGACATATTTAAGCACAGAAAATAGGGGAAAATGTTTCCTAGTGACTATTAACTCCATCTCTGTGCAGAGCAGAGCTTAAAGCAGGAGTACATGGGAACTCTTCTCAAGTCCAAGTGACATCTTCCATAAGGATAGGATCTACAGATTAGCTGAGGACACAAGCTCAGGATGAGGGTCTGGGGGAGGATCCTGCTGTGGTGGACTGAGATAAACAAGATCAAGATATGGTTCTGGGGTAGCTGTTGTGGTCTGACCATACAAATAACACAGAGGTCACCGGGCTATTAACCCCATCTGTCCCCAGCCTTCTGGGTAGAAAATAGATTATATATCTCTCTTAGAAGAGGTGACCCTGTGCATTTAATATTCCTGATTTCCGTAGTATTCATCAGTGAGCACAAGGATCTACATGCCTCCTGCACCTCCCACCTCCCTAGACAGCCCTGGCTGTCCTGGAACTCGATCTGTAGACCAGG